GAGAGAGAGACAGAGACAGAGACATGGAGGGAGAGGGAGATAGGTAGTGAGGAGAGAGAGAATGAGAGAAACAGAGACTGACAGAGAGAGAGAGGGAGAGGGAAGCACCACCCAGCATGCATTGGGACAGTGCTGGCATGGTGGGTAGATGTCCTGCTACGCTCTACTTAAACCCATTACCATCTCTTCATTGCTCTCCAGCACTGGGCTTCCAGAGGACAGCTGAAGCCCAGGGAGAGCGAGCCTTGGCTGGGCAGCAGGTGGGTGGTCAGTTGGAAGCAGAGCACAGGGGGATTTCGAGCTGAGGAACAGGCGAAGATGACCTATCCATGCTCTGCCCCCAAATACACTTCTTCGTAGTTACTGTTGCAAGGCTGGATAAGCTTTACAGAAAAATAAGGCAAATATTCCACTCAGTCTAATGAGAAATCGTAGCACATGGCTACACTGTTGAAGTATATAAAGTAGAATTGTTCATTATTTTTTCAGATGTATAAATGCCTCATCTTCAAAATGGTAACTTTACAGGAAAAGGAAAAACCTACTTTACTTTTAATGTAAGTCAATGGAACTAGGGGCCATTTCTTTTAGTCCATTCATCAAGAAATTTACATACAATGTAAAGGGCAACAGGTATTTTCATGTCAAAAAACGAAAAACGTCAAAAATGGATATACAAGGTTTTGTTCCGACAGCAACGATTTGCATGTGTTTAAAACACCTTTTAAGCACCACTGTAATGCCAGTAATGCTATTATCATGACTCTGCTCACACAGCTGCATGCCACTATCGGTTACATACCACAGATGTTTACAGCAATTAGATTTTGAGGTACAGAAGGATGTTCTTTTCAACACCAATATATATTTTATTGTTGCGTAATCAGGCTAATATTACATTAACTAACCAAATTTAATGCTGTTGTTTTCAAACTACCTAGTCTCTATTAGCTGTAGCAGTACAGTCAGCAGTGCAGCATTTTAAACTGCAAACTCAACACCATGTAGCGACTTTAAATAAAGTACAGTACAATTCCTCATCGGGCTGAATTGAAAGCCCATCACACAGTAGCTACGAAAGAGCGCATCTGTGGCCAGGGCATAGACCGGTCAAGTGGTGAGCTGGAGGGTAAGGTACAGAGGCCTGTGGTGGGAGGGGCTTACCTGGACACACGGCGGTGTTGTTGCAGGGTCTCTGCTCGCGCAGTGGGCCGCTACACTGTGTGCTGTACGAGACGGAGACGCAGAAGCGCGTGCGACTCTGCCAGCCTTCACCACATGTGGCCGAACACACACTCCACGGGGACCACTCCTCACCCGACGGAGAGTCTACTGGGGCAGGGTTGGGGTCAGGGCAGGGTAAGGGTGAGCAAGGTTCGGGGTAGGGGGGGGTAAAAGGGGCCAAAACTAAATTAGCATGCAGGAATTAGCCTCCTGTGCTAAATCAGGCCTGATTATATATCCTGAACATTCAGTCCTCCTAGAAAGGCGAATGCTTCTATTCAGGATATGGCAGATCAATTAAACGAAATGATGATTTAACATGGCTATCCAGCAGAAGAGTCAGACAGCTGCAGCTACAGGACAGACAGAGGGGTCAGAAGGACAGTGAGGGGGGGCAAATATAACTACATTTAAATAGACTACATGTTTTCATCTGAAATCCCTTTACATAGAGGAGACTGTAAACAAGCCCCTTGTTTTTAAACATGGTCACAAATGAAATGTGAGCAGGCTAGTGCTCTGTCATTAACAGAAATAGAAAGCCTGATGGAAACTTCAATAGAAATTAAAATGCCTAGAGGATAAGATCTGGCAACCGAGATCAGAATATGTTCTCTCAAGAAAGTAAACTTTCTGACACTCATTAAATGAACATACATAGCTTTTAGGCATCAGGCTATGATTTCTTCCTACATTGCTTAAACAAACTTGGTAATACTTTACTTACTTTACTAAATAGGGATTTTCTAACACATGCATAAGCATTGAATTACACATTTATGAAACCATACTTATTTATGCTAAAGATATTTTATGAAGTAAATGACATTGTATTGACCTAATGGCTTTTAGTTTAAAAGTGATGGTTATTGTTTGATTTAAATCCCTGTAAGGCACTTTACAAGGTCTAAATCCCTGTCTGTCTTCTACTTAAGAACCAAAGTATAAAATTACTTGTTTTTAACTATACTTTGGTATGAAAAGTTAAGTTATAAAAGTTTAAGTTATAAAAGTTGTGTAAGTTATTACAGTTGTGCTATATTATTTTGATGAACAATAACTATTACTAGAAGAGCTGTGTATACTCTCAGAAATAAAGGTATGAAACTGTCGCAGTACCCCTCTTGTCACTGGAGTGGTACCCTCAAGGGTACATCTCAGTACTCTCACCAGGGAACATAATTGCACTACAATCTATTGAAATGCTATTTTCTAAGTTGTATTGACTGCACACACTCCATCTCATCTCCAGGCTTTTTATTTCATTGTTCTGTTTTAAAACATTAGGTTATGAAAAGGCATAAATATGTACTTTTCACCTGGGAAAGCGTATTTAAGGTACACAATTGGACCTTAAAACTACTGTTGTGCCTTTGACCTGCACAGTACCTTTATTTCTAACAGTGTAGCTTGGTTCATATCTGTAGCTACAGGTGTCATTAATAAAAACTGCACTATTGTACTTTATTTCTTGTAGAAACACGTAGTTGATTTATAGTGTTTGGCCTATGCCTTCTAAGTTCCATTATTTGAGAACTATGCTTAATTACAGTGTTATAAATGGAGCAAATGTCTGTTGATTTAGTTTAAGTCTACAGCATTAAACACTTCATCAGGTATCTTGTCAGCTTGCAGACACTGGCATAAATATTCAAGTTTTGCTCTATAAATACACTTTTAATGCTTATGCATGTGTTACGAAGCCCCTATGAAGGCAGTCTTCAATTAAAGTGTCAAAAATATTTAACTTTGAGCATTGAAGTCTTGTATGCAGTGCTCTAGCAATGGAAAAACATCTGTATCTGAAATACAGGATGGATAAACAATTTCTGAGAATAAGTCATGATACTTAAAGCTAAAATATGGTACATCTCTTAACCCGAAACTTAGCCAGTGAGGGAAGCAGGTCTGACAGAGTCTAGCTGGAGAAACCAGGAAATCATGGTAATCACATGCAAAGGAGAGGATGGACAGTCTTGACTGTTCAATAAAACCGCACTGGACTGCCATGACTGTCCAATAAGCAGAGATGGATGGTATATCGTAGAGCAGGAACGTAGGCTTTTGTGAGAGTTTAGAAGGAAATGTTGGATGCTGGACTGACATGAGCACAGCTGGCCAACAGGAAGAGATGGGCTGTCAGAGGGGAAGTAGCAAGGAAGGCTCTCTTAAATAAGGGCAAATCTCATTTTTAAACTGAAGCTTCTGAATAGCTTTTAGCGGATGAAGTGAGAAAAAAATAACCTGTCTCAGGCAATGAATGTCAAAATATATTTCTAACTTTTTTAACATCCGATTTTGATGTTTACTGGCTTTTTGTGGTGCACTTAAAACTTGTTTGGATATGTTCACCTTGGGTGTTTTGGCCAAGGTGAAGACAAATAAACATAAAAGAACATTCAAAGCACATGGAGATATCTGTTGCAAGGCTGGACAAGCTTTAAAACTCAAATTGACATTAGCTTTTTTGATGTGTTACTGTGCTAATTTGTGGCAAATTTGTTGTTGTTTCCAACCTGCCTAGCTTCGATTAGCTACAACAAAGTACATTAGATGTCCAAAACGTGCCCAGGCACCTCTTCTTATAATTACTTCAGCAACTTTAGGTGCTTAAATTGCTAACACAGGGGTTTAGATGCACAAACTGCTCGTATAATCTATATAGAAAAGCACTGGCAATAGAATTGAATTCTCTCACATGAGCTTAAGCTACACTTATACACTGGTCTGTATATCAGCGGAAGTGTGCTCTGTGGAGTGATGAAGCTCCATCCAGCAGCTTTGGGATGTCAGAACTAATCATCTAACATCAGTACCGGACGTCACTACTGCTCTTGTGGCTGAATGCAATCAAATCCTCACAGCAATGTTCCAACATCTAGTATAAAGTCTTCTCGGAAGAGTAGAGGCTGTTACTGCAGCAAAATGCGATAAACTGCATATTAATACCATTGATATCAAAAGATATGGATAAGCAGGTGTCTACAAACTTTTGGACACATAGCGTAGTCCACGTCAGTGGTGGAGAACTTTAAGCTGATAACTCAACAGAAGCGACTCTAAATTTCAATCTAAATTTATGAGGTTGAAAGGCATTTTTGCCAGTGTTCTCTAAAACATGTCCAACCTAGCAACCTGTTTCCAGAGACATAATAACAGTTGTTACAAAAGAATGCCTGTGTGAGAGGAGCATGAATAGGCCAATTAAACCCACAATATAGCAAATGCCTCACATCTGAGATCAATACTCTACAGTCATGCAGAGGCCAAAGACAGCATGACTAGACGTAAGTCACGTGTGTCCTCTATTGGCTTGTTGGTTCTTAAGTAGGCCTGTTGGCATAACAACCTCTCACATTACCTACAATAGTCCTACACAATGAGCTATGTCCATGATTCATATACAAACTGATGTACCACTGTGAGCCATGCCAAAACACGTCACAGAACACACACGCTTCCCACTCGAATTCACATAACACTGCAAGACCAGGCCACAGCAACATGCACATCCAATCTACACCCCTGTTTGTGTATGTGTGAATGTAGAGGCCAGCTCTGTTGCTTTAGTTATTTCATTTCCAGTCAAAAAAAAGGATTTTTTGTGTCAGGAAAAAAAGCAGAAAACACATATTTTATCTGAAATTTACACAGAAGTCTTAACAACTAAATATAATATATACTTGTTCAGTATTTAGTATGTCCACTCTTCTGCAGGGATATTTTTCCACACCTCCAAAGTTCAATCTTAGATGTTGGTTGCATTTCCAGCTTCTCACCATCCAAGAAATCTCAAATACATTTAGACTCACCAGGCTATAAAGCCTTACTCCACATCTTTTCTTATTTTTTGCCTATTTTCTTTTCTCAGCTTCTTGACAGTTACGCATCCTTTCAGATTCATAGTGCGGAGTTGTCCTCTGACAGTGGAGGAATTACAGAAACACCTGTGGATTTTTTCAGACCTGAAGCAAAAACTGAATTTCTTTTTTTGAATTTCTCTCAAAGATCAATGCTTTAAGTACTGTTTATCTGATGGGGGCAGTTTTGGTGGTCTACTAGGTCTTACATGGTTGTTAGGAGCTTCATTTTCTCTGTGTGTTTTTTGAATTCCAGTTTTGGAAACTGTTGTTTTTTCACTTATTTTTCTTTGACCTTTTCCTTCTATATGCAAGTGGATTGTCTGATTTCTAATCTCCTCAAAAATTTCTCTTTTAGTCATTTCAGATGCACATGAGAAAGAAATTTGTAAGGCAGCTGAGGTGTGTTTGGATAGTTTCTTGTGTAAATATTAGAGTCTCTTTGAAGGGGAACATAATGTCAGTGACTTGTTTTTATGAACAGCTTTGATGTATGATGTATGATGTAGCTGTAACTGGTCGGTTTTAAGACTGGAAGGATAGAAGACTTAAGATGGCAGTAGAGTGTACAAACATGAATAATGGACAAATTAAACACTGATAGATTTGATATCATATGTAGGGTTGGAGGCTTTTGTGCAATTTTCTGTTGAATATAAGTTTCCTGTTGTGGCTCTGAAAAATGAATAACTTGTTCTTAATGGCAGTTTTGACTGTAAATTAAATAATATGAAAGGGTGCTTTCTGACTTTTGCACAGTACTGCATGTAGACCGAAACAAAGTAATGCATTAGATTCACTTGAGTGAAAAGCAAACATCATTTCCAGGTGAATAAAACACATCCAACTGCTTTCCAATTTACTTTCTTTAGTCAGCAATTGTATTTCATTCAGGTAGAAATGATGTACATATTTGCATCAAGTAAATTCGATGCATTTTTTTTTTCTGTGCCCAAGCTGTAGAGGAGGCTGATGCGGGTGTTTTGTACCTGTCTGAGAAGACTGCTGTCCACTACGGCTCTTGTCCACGTCCTCTCGCTTACGGCTGTCCACCGATCGCAGTGACTGGCTACGCGAGCCATGCCGTCCTTTGCCTGCGGAGGTGATGGAGTTAACTATCAGACTGGGCTTTTACTGGACAGAGCTGTGAGTAAGTTCATTATGGCCTCACCAATATGAAAACATTGTCATCAATAACAGTATCGTTTTAACTCTTCAGAATATTTGGTCAGATCAACCTAAAAAATACACTTTTAAGTAATGACAACAAACTTCCTGGTAATTCTAATAAAATGCTACTACTCTACAACCTCATGGAGGCTATGGACCTCATGGCTGGAAAAAGTAAGATGTTTTATATTTTAGATGAATTGTAGATTGATGAAAACAGCTGTAGCTAATTTTATAATAAGTGAGAAAGCAATTAATATTCAGAATAAAAGTGGTGAGGAACTATAGAATGCCCCTAGCTGCAAGTGTCCGTGTGAATGTGTATGTCTGCCCTGTGATGGACTGGCGGTCTGCCCAGGGTGTTTCCTGCCTTCCGTGATAGGTTCCAGCACCTCAAACGGCCCAGGAGGATAAGTGGCTTAGATGAGATGAGAGTATATGTGCTTGTGAGAGTTGATTATGATCTTTCGAAACTGAGAGTGTGTAAGACACACTGGTGTGTAAATGCTGTAAAGGTCTTCTCACTTGAAAAGCCATCCTGCCATTTGAAAATGTTACAGTATGACAAAACGTAAGGTTTTCGCAGGCAATAGCCATGTTTTCTTGCATTCACATTACTTTTTTCCACTTTAAATAAATAAAAGGAACTGACAAAGCTCTTCCTTGATCATCACCAATTTTGGTGCATGCTGCCACCATAGCAACGTTTACACGCAGGCGTGCTGCCATCCTTTATGTAAAAAGCCACTTTTATTTTTAAAGCCAACATGTAAACACAGCATTAGCTTCTTTACTGTGCCTTTTGTGCTAGTTCCTATAGGCTATTTACCTCGTTAGAGAGTAATGGTAAAGAAAACAAACTTCAGTGTCAAGAAAAAGTGTTGAGACAGGTCAGTACCACTTTGTTGGCCCTGAAGGTAGGTCAGCACTGACCTAATGAGGACACACACAGACACAAGGGTGCACGCTGAGCTCACCGATGCAGGGCTGGGAGTTGCAGGGCCGGCCTTCCTCCAGCACTCCATCACACAGGTACGCTTCATCTGGAGATGCGCTACACACACGTGTGCGCGTCTGGACCCCGCCCCCGCACTCACTGCTGCACTCCGCCCAGTTCCCCCAGCTACTCCAGCCTCCTGAAACACAATGCCAACACATTAGTGATGAGCCACATGAACTGAACTTTATACCATGATATTTATATATTAAAAAGATTCAAACCCAGTGAGACAGTTTGCCACTGAAAAGCTTCCCTTTCTTTACTGGGTAAATGCTGTCGCCAGTGGTGATTCTAGGACTGTATAAATGGGGTGGCCATTGGGTAGCCAAGGCAATTTTAGGGGGTCTAAGTTCCATAAACCAAAAAAGATGTATATTGGTCAGAAAAAAGGCCTGCTTCATTTCTTATTTCTTCCTTTTAATGTGAACTATACTCATATTTTTAAACATGCAGTATAGAGATAGAGTAGTGAAAATGCACACGATGGCATAAACAATACAAGTGGAGTTTTAAAAAATCAAATAAAAATTAAAATTAAAACTTTTAGACAAGCAAATGTCAAGAAGCTGATACTGAGGAGAAAGAAGGAAAAAAGAAGAAAGTTTGCACTGAAATGTGAAGTAAGGTTTTACAGCCTGATGAGTCTAAATTTGTAACCGGAACTGTTTTGAATCTTTAATTGTGAGAAGCAGAAAATACAACCACCTTCTAAGACTGAATGTCTTCCAAACGAAGTAATATACATTTGCAAATGTGCAGATTTTGGTGTCAGTATCAGTCATGGAAGTGACTTGAGCTAACGTGCCCATCAGGTTCTTTTATACGCTTGCAGCTGTGCAGCCTTGCAGATCAAAGTTTGTGACCAGAGATCTCAGGGCAAGAGTCCTGAGACTTAGTCTGGGCATATGACATCTTCAAACACATCTTTACATACATTCAACCCCTACAAGCATAAAGCACCACATAGTACAGTCTATACTGATGCTGTGGTTGGCTTCTTGTTTAGATTCTCTGTGCCACCTTAAAAGGTGCCTATATGGCAGAGCGTTTGCATAAACATTTAAAAATTCTCTATATTGACAGAGCAGCTAACCTTAACTAACAGCTAACTAGGCTCTTTAGTTTGCTCACTTTTTTTTAGCTAGGGTCACATTTACGTGACACATCCTGACACTGTAGTAAAGACTATGTTTTAAAGGGGAATTAAAATGACGTTTCAAAATTTCTGCATAATTAAGTCATTAAGATTTAAACAAAGTCATTCAGAAGGGTTTGATGTGAAATGCTCCGTTCTAGAGAAATGTGCCATGTCAGAATTGTTAACATAGGTAGCGATGGGAACTAGACATCTGATGAGTTTCATGCCTCTGAAAGCTCCCTCACAGAAAGTTATTACATGAAATAGTTATGAACATGCAGCCTGATGCCTGAGACATTGTTTTACTATAATTTATGATAAACTGTTCACCACAAACATATTTTTTCAAAGCCATTCACAATGGACAGGTACATTGAGAGTGTTCTAAGGGAAAATAGTCCCTGATGATTTACCACTATGTTACAGTAATCAAAATTACATATCGCTGCTGTCGGAAGAAAACCTTGTATCTCCATTTTCGTCGTTTTTCAGTTTTTGACATACTTTGAAAATGCCCGTTGCCCTTTACATTGTGTGTAAATTTCATGATGACTGGACCAAAAGAAACGGCCCAAAATGACTTGGAAAACAGTCTGGTTCCACTGACTTACATTAAAAGTAAAGTCGTTTTTTTTTTTTCGTTTCCTGTAAAGTTATCATTTTGGAGATATGAGGTTTTCTTCTGACAACAGCGATATGAAAACTCACATGTGTAGCTTCACTGGTGACCCCTGGTTCTTATCACCACCTCGGTTAGGAATTCTGAGTCCGTACGTTTCTATTCAATGAACCATTCTGCATCTCTCGTTGACCGTGTTTACATTTTAAACATTAAACAAGTTATGCAGACTTTGAGAAAAATTGGTTGAATTCCCCTTTAATATGGCCCTCGATAATAGTGAGAGAAATCAGAATAGCATACAATAAACTAAATATCCGCTCTTGTTTACTTCGCCACATTCATACTGAGAATCCTAGAAATGAATGAATGTGACAGAGTGTGATAGCTACCTGCTGATACAGGGAGGAAACAGAGAAAACACTGTAACCAAGCTGCAATTTTGCAAAATGTACTTTCGCTTCGCTCCGCCTGAATCCAACTGCGCGTAACATTTTGCCCTGAACTGCTTTCTGTTCAGGAGTGGGTAGAAGACGTCTGATCAGCCAGTTTAAATCAGAAAGAAAGTTTCAGGTGACACACAGGGTCAGATTTCAGGGGTAGCCAGTGCTACTCCGGCCACCAATAGCTGTTGCACATGCTTTTTAGCTTCTTCGTGTTCATACACGTTAGAGTTTCAGTTCAATTTTTACTAATAAACCAATTCTGAATACTCCTCAACCCTCAGTCTTGTTTTGGATCTCCTCAATTCTACTTTACACTTTGCAGAATGTCTATAAAATGCTATTTCATAGTTTGCTGTAGCTAACAGCGGCAGCTCATTATTCCACATAATTATAAACATTCTAAGTTTACTGCAGCCGCACTAAGCGTGATGAAACATTATGAGTGTTTTGTTCAAGTGCACGAAAAAGGAAGCACTGCCAACACAAAGTGATCATCTGCAAATCTGCAAATGGTCGTCAATGATATGCTGTGCCTTAATGCTTTCATTTATAAGGAAGAGTTTCAAGATCATAGGGTGGGGCTGATTGAGCCTTAGCATTGTTGATCTTCTTATGACATGGTGATGTGGTAAAAGTCCAATCCTAGAACATAACACCTTTTACACTGTTAGCCCACCCAAACTTAGTACACACACACAAGAATCATACAGACATACAGACACACAGACCCCTTCTGACACATTCACACACACACACTGGCTATTACAGTCATCCCAGCGCAAACTCAATTTTTTTCCCCTAATTTACATGAAACAAATTACACTGTCACTTAAGCGTTCCTGTTCGGCAATGATGTTCCCTATTTTGTGATCCATTATGATAGCATAAGGAAGTGAGAATGGGCGCATAAATACCAGTAGAATGTGCCTCTGTGTCCTGCACTCTCATGAATGTTTAATAGCAGACACTGCCGCCTGTCTGCTCCCACAGGCCCCGGCAAATATGTATTAATCTGCATGAATAGAACATGAAGCTGGCCCACGTCCAGGCACAGACATTTTTAATTACTCACAAATCAATTGTGTGGGAGGACGGGGCTGATATCATAATGCACCCTCAATGTCCGCAAAAGGGGGAGAGGGGGAGAGAGACAGAGAGAGAGAGAGAGAGAGAGAGAGAGAGAGAGAGAGAGAGAGATGGAGAACACATATGACGTATGTACTTATTGAAGTTTAAATCAATACATGTGATTTTATCCACTTAAAGAAGCCAAACACACTGAGCTGTTGTTAATGGAAAGATTAACACAGAACTGATACACATCCAGTTTTCTGAAAACGTGACAGCATGTCAACCACTACTTAAGACCTTTACACACTGAGCGTGACTTATTCATGCGATTTATTCAGACGACAATAAATGCACTCAAACATACGTAGAACTGATATCTTACACACCCAATGCAATTTTTGGATGCCAAAAATGCAGCATTATAAGCTGACGCATGCTGTGTCCCGCCAAGTAGAACTTTTTGACAAACCTCAAAAGGATTTGTTCGTCTTCGGCTACAAAGGAACATTTATCAGGTCCAGGAAGTAAAAACTGACTGGCTTCTCTGAGAAGCTAAAACCAGCGGCAGAGGCGTCGAGACAGTCCTGGGGAGGCTTTTCACCTTCTGGACCTGAATTGCCCACCTCTGGGTATGGAAGGTGTTAGCATCTCCAAAGCCAGCTTAAAGTGAGTTTAGAATGGGTTCCCCATCCAAGTTATATGTGGCAGCACTTGCAATGACAATGACATTATGAAGTGGACACGGGTCACTGATTGGAAAATGACTAGGAAAGCTTGTGATGCTCAACATGGTCCCATAAAATGAGCCAATCGGTTGAAGCAACTAGTGGTAAAAGCTCCCCCTTGTTGTGGAGGCATGATTATGCACAGTAGCCAGAACAAGCTAAAAATGGTACAAGCTATTCGTGTTGTTTTGTTGTCAAATTTTATAGCTGATTTCACATGCTTTTGAAATGTTGATGTGGCTTTTAGTTTCAGTTTCTTTCTCCATTCAAAAAAACAGGAGTCTGGTCTTATGACTGGAAATAACCATCTGGAGGTGTTGCAAAGATGCCTGTCGACGGCTGTGAGGACTTTCACAGTTCCAAAATGGAAAGCAGTCTATCCATTGTCTTCTTATCTCACTGGGACATTTGAAAATATTCCAACCTATCAACAGTGTCTAAGAAGAAAAATGTATTTGTGGGAGAATCGTGGTTTAATTTAGTTTTATTTCAGCCAAACAGTGTTGCGAAATAATAATAATTTGTGGATAAGATTTGTGACCCTTGTTATTGCCTATAACAGAGGTCGGCAACATGCGGCTCCGGATTTTTAGGTAAAAATAAAATAATTCTCCTTTGCAGTCAAATAAAGCTCTGCTGATCATTCTAACACAGTTTAAACCACAAACTGTCTTATGTATAAATGCTAATTCACGCTTTAACCCTGAAGGTTGACGTACAGACTGCTGGTCACCATAGCAATGACAACAATCTTGTCTACCTAATAGTTAATGAAAGGTCAAAGAGAAATATTTAAGACGAACATTGATAATTTGGAGACAAACTGACTTATTTTCCTTTATAATCACTCCAGCTGGTTTCCTGATATGTTTAATCTGCAATGAGAAACTGTCAAACACTAAAAAGTCGCAAAAAGCTGGAGTCAGTTTCTTGTTTGCCAGCCTCTCATTGGAATTTTCCCGTTCCACGTTAAATGGCGCAGCAGTTAAATTCTTGTACCTCAGGCAACATTTAAGGTGGAAGGGGAAAATTGAGAATGGTGACTGGAGAATGAGAAACTGACAAAAAGCTTTTCCACTTTTGAGTAAAATTTTCCTGATGGAGATGCGAGAAAAGCGGCTGTAGCTGAGCTAAAGC